GTCTCCGAGAGAGACATGGACTGTGATGCAGCTGTAGGATTTTTCAAGGCGCGGGATCAGGAGGGAACGATCTCGGGCCACAAACAGGAGTTACTCCAGAGGTGAGTTTTGTTGTTGTTGAAATATTCGAATCGTGAATCGTGTTTTTGAGATTTATTTTGTGCCTAGGCTTTAGCAGACCGTATTTCTTTCTCCTTGAGATCGGTGCTGAAGACAATAGTAACCTTTTTCTGGTCTGCCTTTTCCTCTCCAGAGCCATCTTCTATGAAGGTAACCGTGGTGCTGCCAAGTCGCGATCGCGATCAGCAGCGCCGAAGTGGAAAAATCGATTTTCCAACGATCTGGTTGGACATCAGCCACTAAAGTACTTCTGATTTGGCTGTAGTGACAACAGCAGCCATCCTTGGACACCTTGCAAAGACAGGAAAAGCCACTAGTGGAAGCGACTGCTATGAGGTGACGATAGCAGTGCAGTGGTGATCGCTGTTTTGTCAAGTCGAAGGGCTAGCCAACCCAGAGGAAGCAAAAAAAAACGATAAGCAGTGCGTGGTATTTGTTGAGCGTGAAGAGCTAGAGTAGGACAGTGCAAACACATGGACGGAGTGGATTGTGTTTGAAGAACAGTGTGCTGTGTGTCGGCTGGTGGTGATGGTGGTCTTTGTCAGCATGTATTCGTGCTGCTTCTTGTGCTGGAACAGTTCTCGCCCAGGAAGGCAGATTGCGTGCTCCCTGGCCCTCAGTCGGCAATAGGGCATTTGTTCCAGGAACATTACCCCAGAGCCAGTGATGAGTCGTACCTTTGAAAAGTTGAAGCTTGCTGTTAATCGCAAGCGTAGCGCAGTGGATTGCTCCCTCTTCGAAGCACGAGGGCCAAAGCTTGCCGCTGTCTGCAGCAAAGTGTGTGTGCTGTTCTTTCGAACCCATGAATATACCCCCCCCCCCCCCTCCCTCTCTCTCTTAGGAAGACTGCATGTTCTGAGTGAACTATAATTTTTCTAGTATATTTAATGCGAGACGGGCTGTTTACGCCCAAGATGAAGATACAGTTTTTTTTGCGTTTCTATACCTTCCTAATAAAATACATCGTGACAGAGCTTTCGGTCATACTTCGCTGTACTACATCCTCAACCCGCCACCATCATGCGCTCTTGGCCGAACTAATGCACGAAGCATAAACACACCAGCACAGCAAGGACACTTCCGTTGACAGATATTGTTTACGCCTCTAGACAGCTGTTTCGTTTCTTCAAGCTCATCGTTAGAGGAGGATAGTAGCAGGATACTAATGATGAAATAATATAAGATGATGCTAGTAGAGGGTTTAAAACTTTATGGTCCGATATTGATGATTGGAGATCTAAGAAAGCAATGACAGTGATTGCGAAATGGATAATATTATCATGATTATATGCCAGTCTGGTAATGCGTTGTACTAGTGAACAGTATTGAAATCATCACTGCATTCGATGCAAATATTGGTATACCTTTGGTTTCAGTATTGGAAAAAAAGAACCTGGTTGATTTGGTTGCATCTGCGACTGGCTACCGGGTGTTGTGACTGGCAATGTTACCATGGGAGAAAACAAGAGCGCAAGGATCTGTTGGGTCTTGTGCCGTGCCGCTGCGAGAACCCTAAGTGCATGGCAAAATAGAACTGTTTCATCCCCATTGCAGAATGTCTTGCAGTACATGGCATTGATGACTGAACATCTCGCCAGCTGACCCAGATGGGGATCATGCCCAAACGGAGGAACAAGACATCTTTCCAGCTCAGCTAGCTATATACCGTGAAACGGATGGTTAACTTGTGCCACGCATGCCAGCTTCTGTTCCATTCGGCCCAGGCTTAGACACATCAATGCCAATAGCAGCTGATCCTCCATTACATGCTCATTGGCGATTTACGGCCACCTCCAACTGTATCCGCCGTCCCTCAGCTTCCGTCTTCGCAGATCTGGCGCGGCGCAGTCCATTTTCTCGGCTAGGCTCAAAGGAGTCCCACAGAGCGGTCCAAACACCTGAATGCAAACCAGTCAGAAACTGGAGCGGCTCACAGTCTTTCTTTATGTTATTGTACGTAAGCTGTTTTTCGGCTTTCTTCACCCCAGTCCTCACATCGTCCAACTGCTCCACGAGACTGTGTACACGAGCTCTACTTGCTGCCAACTCCTGATGCAGATGCTGCACTTCCATTACAGGACCAAGCTGCACTAAGCCAGGTTCCTTTCCAACTCAAAGTGCCGTTGCCTCTCAGCAAAATACTGGTTTGCGGAGCATGGGGAGCTCGTGATGCAGACGCTGCACTTCCATGACCGAACTGCACTAGGCTCAGCAAATACTGTTTTGCGATCATGGGGAGCAGGGCGTCCAGACTCCACTCTCTTGCGAAAAGCAAACCTGGTACCGTAGGACAGCTGTTTGGTTTCCTGGACTCATCCTGTCCTTGTAGAGCTGGGCAAAACGATTTCGATTTCGGAATCGAAATGATCGCTGCAACTCAAATATTCAGAGTGACCCTAAAACTACGTCCTTCCTCACGGGGAATAGCCTGGATCCGCTTGCTCCAGGCCGCTGTGGCTCCACACGAGGAAAGGAGTGAAATGACTTGTTTGCTTCGTCCTCCTGTTCTGACAGTGAGGAACGCAGCAATGATCCTGAGAAGGCATCCTGAAGTCGTAAAAAGGAAGACGTCTAAACAAAAACAAAACAGCTCAAATCAAAAGTCCTTGTGGCATTTTTTTGTAGACGGGCTTGCACTGCATGTAGATCTCGTGTGCTCTGCACTTCGCATGCGAGAAGTCACGCACAGCCGCGGTGAGGTTGGTCGCGTGTGTGCAGCAGGATCCCACGCGACTGCGGAGTTGCCCCCTTGCTCGAACCCAGACAATAATAAGGGGATCGGTCTATTTCTTTGAGCTGCGATGCAATTTACTCTCACAGTGTGACGAAAACGACATCGACTCAGACTCATTCCCAAGGCCATGACTTGGCAAAGCTATCCGTGTCACTTCGACGACATTTTGAGAAAAGCAGACGCCTGTGAAAGCTGATAGAAGACGGTGTTGACTCCTAAATTCAAATAAATTGGCGATCTTGAAATCTTGAAATACTAAAATAATTGTCAAACAGAAATCGATCGATCGATGTGCCGTTGTATTCAACAACACGTAGCTACAGCGCAATGACTTCCGTGTTCACTCACACCATTTCAGTGTTGTGGGTGTGTTCACATGGCGTGAACCAGTCAAGTGTCAGTAAGTTCGGCAGGAAACGCCAGCTCCAACAACAAGTCGTTTGGCGCAGCAACCTACTTTGGCTTGTACTTTTTGTACCAGCGTGATCACCAAAAGAATGAAAAAAAAGTTTGACTTGAAGATAGTTTGGGATTTGAACTCACAACTTCATGGTCAGCAGACAGCATTCATAACCACAAAGCCAAAAAGGAAAGGATAAATCGTGGGTTTTGATAAGAAAAGGCAAATTGTAAACCACGGGAAAAGGCCGGAAACCTGGCCGAAATTCTAACTCCTTAACGGCTGGTCCAATTGTTCCGATACCTTCACAGAACAATTTGCCGTGTCCAAACAAGCCATTCTATGTACTTTGTTGTCCAAATTTCCCTTATCTTCATACTTTTTAAGACCAAAACCTGATTGCTAATCTTTTTGAAATGGACTATAGTTCCCGTTTATTGTCCGAATTAAAATACACCAACCAACCAGTTAAAGCATGTGACTCGGCTGGTGAGACAGCGCCAGGTACATGTGTACATGTGTCCTACAATCCTAGAGCAGACACAGGTGTAACGCATGTCAAAGGGCTGCCAGTGCTAACAGCTGCAGCGCTCTCTCGACAGCAAAAGTAATCGACTGCCGTCCGCATCACCCCACATTTCTGGCAGGAACACCAACCGTCATTTCCTTGTCGACCAGTGAAGTTGTCCGCGCCAATCTCCTGGCCCTCATCAGGCTGCGCTTCTAGCAGGGGCACCTCAGGAGGTCCTTCAGGTTCCTTAGAGTATGGTCGCAGTTGTGAAGCTTGGGAATGTTGACCAAGCATCCTTGTTCATCACCAGAAAATTAAAAAAAAAACTAAGATCTTCAAATGCAGAGAATTTGAATACTAGAATTTGAATACTAAGCACATGTGACGTCATCAAACCATCAAAAGAGGAGACAAACTTGGCCCTCCCTGGCTTCATATATCGACTTTTTGGGTCTAGTTTTCGCGATTTCCCATTCCTTGGGGGCCATATAAAGCCCCCATGAAGAGAACACACCACCGAAAAAATTCCCGGAGTGCCCCTCTAACTTTGTCTTTCTAGCCTAATTCGCCACTTCGCTGCATCCAGATCATGCAGAGCCAGTTGTGTCCACTGTTTCTGGATGTGCTGGCCATTGAATGACCTATGTCCTTGTACGACCTGCACCCAAATTCTCTCCTTATTTGGTTGTACAGTAGCAGTCCAGAACCGATCATCAATCGCATATAAGGCAGGTGGGGAAAGTTGAGTTGCATTCGAATGCACCAGGCGACAAGAGTGCATGGAGATGGCCTGCTACTCACTGAATGCACTCCAGACATGATCTCAGTATTTCTGCTCACCAACTCATGCTAAATATGCAGTCTATGATACATTGCAAATGCAAGCCACCTTTTAAAGGCCTTGCACATATGAAAATTGCATTCTAGACACGTATACACGCATTCGACGCTCTGACTTAGCATCTCAGGGCGATGAAGAGCAACATGCACTATCAAACGGAATGCCAATTAGTTCAGGTTCGAAACGGATTTCCGCACAACTAAGTGAAAACGGGACGAGTTAAACGGCAGACTTTCCCATTTGTGTGTTGAACGAACACGAAAATGACAAAGGTGCACAGGAAACATTACGTAAATTACATTGAGTGTGGTTGGCAACAGCTACTTTGCATTCGAATTGAATTAAAAGTTTTTGAAAAGTGAACTGATAAAACAACACGATTTCCAAGACGCACCTTGTTCAGTGGGGAGGCTTCTTGCATCACACTGGCCGGCCACAAACAGCATCAACGCTGCCAAACAACAGCGCAGTACCACCGCCATCGAGTCTGCTCCCGTCTCCACGGTTCCTGTCGTGTGCCCGAGCCGTCACTGATTGTAATATTAAATTGTGGCCAGGGAATTTTTAACAAGATTACCGTACAAGCTACATGTAGCTACACTGCCTACAGTGCATTTCAAAACTATAGACGCGTAGGGTTTTTGAAATATTTCAAATTTGGCTGGAACTTTTTGAGAAAAGTTTTCGGAATATTGCTCAGGATCGCTCCACAATTAATTACTCTCATATAGTTTCTAAAGGATTGGATAACAGACGCCCAATTTGGAAAAAATTATGCACAAAGTGATCACAGACTTTATGTGGTATAGATGCTGGCATAACGGTTTTTGCCTAGGTACGCGTCTATAGTTTTGAAAAGGACTGTAGCTAGCTGGGGAGTTGCTGGATCCGAGGCCTAGTTTTGTCTTCTACCTAGCTGGATTGGACTTTTGGTTGTTGTTTACTGGTTATCGTTGTTGTTATTGCACAGCCCAAGGACTAAAAAACATCACGACATTGCCATTGGGTCGAAGGCCTCTAGCCAAAACTGAGCGTGGAGAAGTTGAGCAGATGGCCATGTGGGGTCGGCATACATACGCCGCAGTCGAGTTCACCTTGTGCATCTTGTCTTTCGATCAGGCCGGTGTCGTAGAGCTATAGGTCTACAACAGTACATGCCACCGCAAAGTTCAGTAGCAAAGTACAACACAGTACACATGGTACATGACCTGATGACCTTTTGTTTTGATCAGGGATCACACATTCACAGATCTACGAAGGGATATCCGATATCTCTCTACTCTTCACATGTGTACAATGCCATCATCTGGTGGGTGCGGCAAGGTAGCCATATAGTTTCGGAGAAGCGGCATGAACTAGGCCCCCGTACCCCCCCCCCCCCCGGCCGTGTAATATGCCGGTACTTTTGAGCATTTTCGGTACAATCCGCGAACCCAGCACTTTGGGCTCGTGATGCAGCATTTTGGGGGAAACGGAGCACTTGGCCGTTGTGTATCAAAATTGAGAGAAGAAAAACTTTTTACTTCCCAAACAAGAACGTCACTTCCGCATTCCGTACTCAACAAGAAGCTAACCCAAATTGTTGAATTGTTTACCATGGCAGCCTCGATTATGGCTCACCCGGCCCGACATCCCAACCGTCTCAACCGTCATCTCAACAACCACCGCCCACAGCGTCAGTGACCCGTACCGTACCAGTTTTCGAACCAGCTACTCGACCGACAGCGGAGGATAGTAATACCCACCGTCGCGATCGATCGCCTGCTCTCCAACTGTCGACAGCCAGCCTCTCAGGTAGATCTCCTTTAGGGCCGATTCCCACTACGGTACCGTGAGTGCCGTGCCGACGATTTGGGTAGGTCACGTGTACCCCACGGTACGAGCTTGAAGCTGAGAGTGATTTAGGGCCGATTCCCACTACGGTACCGTGAGTGCCGTGCCGACGATTTGGGTAGGTCACGTGTACCCCACGGTACGAGCTTGAAGCTGAGAGTGATTTACACCTGCGCCCAATCATTCCGTGCATTCCGTCGGCAGGCCGGATCACCATTTTTATCAATTTCTGACTTTGGTCCTGAGGGAAAATAGCGGGGGAGATGACTGGAGAAAGCTCAAGAATCAACCAATCGAAAAGCCAAAAGCCAAGAAAAAACTTCGTACCACAAATACAAAAGAAAGAAAAAACTTCCTTTCAGGGAGTAGTAAAATACCTACTACTCACTGCATTCGACCTCACGGAATACCACGGCATGCCATTTCCACCCCCCAGAGACCCTCGGCACCGGAATGTCCACGGCGCGGTACGGCAGGAGCCACGGAATGAACTCGCGCCAAAACTGCCCCTCACGTGAGCAAATCACCATGGGTACTCACGGCACGGCACTCACGGTACCGTAGTGGGAATCGGCCCTTAGGGCCGATTCCCACTACGGTACCGTGAGTGCCGTGCCGACGATTTGGGTAGGTCACGTGTACCCCACGGTACGAGCTTGAAGCTGAGAGTGATTTACACCTGCGCACAGTCATTCCGTGCATTCCGTCGGCAGGCCGGATCACCATTTTTATCAATTTCTGACTTTGGTCCTGAGGGAAAATAGCGGGGGAGATGACTGGAGAAAGCTCAAGAATCAACCAATCGAAAAGCCAAAAGCCAAGAAAAAACTTCGTACCACAAATACAAAAGAAAGAAAAAACTTCCTTTCAGGGAGTAGTAAAATACCTACTACTCACTGCATTCGACCTCACGGAATACCACGGCATGCCATTTCCACCCCCCAGAGACCCTCGGCACCGGAATGTCCACGGCGCGGTACGGCAGGAGCCACGGAATGAACTCGCGCCAAAACTGCCCCTCACGTGAGCAAATCACCATGGGTACTCACGGCACGGCACTCACGGTACCGTAGTGGGAATCGGCCCTTAGCGGGGCACAGCACCCCCGTACAAGACCCTGCTAACTCCAGTGCTGACTCGGCTGAGCTCCTTCACGTACGGGATCAGGTGACCCACGGCACAGTCACGGACAGCCAAGTAGCTCTCCTAGCGACACTGGCGGACGATGAGCCCAGGGAAGAACCCCGCTTTCCTTTGCCACCTTACCAGAACGCAGAGTGTGACCTACGCATAGGGAATTTTGATCTCGACTCATCCCGCCAGGTGATCAACGCAGCGTATGCTGAAGCAGTTCACTTCCGCCCGAACCTGTTTAGTGTCCCATCGGGCGCAACTGGTGAGAAGTATGTTAATATCATAGCTCGTCTATACCAGTGCTTTGGTGATGCAGCGGCAGGCGAGGGTGTGTCCATCAAGGTAGCGATGGTGGCTACACAGGTACTGCTTCAACAGCCATATCGTATGGTAGACAGCCGAGAGCATGCTGATTGCCTCCAACGCAGACTGTCGAGCTGGGACACTGGAGATATCGATGAGTTGATGACTGAAGCTCGTACAATCCAACAACAGATACGAGAGGCTACAAACAAATTCAGCAGGGAAGAGCGTGCAAAAGACGATAGTGAAGCAAGGAGGTTTGCCGCCTTGGTCATGGATGGAAAGATAGGCTCTGCCACACGTATGCTTGACGGCGACAGTAAGGGCGACCTGCATCGCCTTGACAATGTCATAGGTGACCACACAGTTCGAGAGATTCTTCGAGAGAAGCATCCAGCAGCATCACCTCTAAACGAAGACGCAGTTATGGACGGAGAGCCTCTGCCCCAACCACATCCGGTCATCTTCACGGCACTCAATAGGGACGTTATTCGCCAAGCTGCGCTGCGCACGCATGGTGCAGCCGGGCCTTCAGGCATGGACGCAGCCAATTGGCGAAAGATTTGCACCTCCTTCCGCTCAGCCTCGGATGCACTCTGCGATGCTCTGGTTACCTGTGCCAGGCGAATAGCTACCAAGTATGTGGACCCCATCTCACTGGAAGCTTATGTGGCTTGCCGTCTAGTGCCTTTGGACAAGCAGCCAGGTGTTCGGCCTGTCGGGATCGGGGAAGTCGTCCGCCGCATTCTGGGCAAAGCCATACTTCAAATTGTTGGCTCGGCAGTAGAGAGTGCTGTTGGCTGTCTGCAGTTATGCGGTGGGCAAGAGTGTGGCGTGGAAGCCGCCATTCATGCGGTGAAGACCACCTTCGATGATGACCACACGGAGGGAGTCCTGTTCGCGGATGCAACGAACGCATTCAATCGCCTAAATAGAGCTGTTTGCCTGCGCAATGTTCAGCGGCTATGTCCTGAGCTCGCGCCAGCTGTTATCAACACCTACCGCTCCCCAGCTCACCTGTATGTTGGAGAAGAGGTGATCCTGTCTTCTGAGGGCACCACTCAAGGAGACCCATTGGCTATGCCAATGTATGCGCTTGGCACAGTGCCACTGATCCGGGAAGCCGCCGCAGCTGGGGCCATGCAGTCCTGGTATGCCGATGACGCAACTTCAGCCGGCGCTCTCCGACGAATGCGCACCTGGTGGTCCATCCTAGTAGATCGAGGCACCAGGTATGGTTACGACATCAACCCATCAAAGTCCGTTCTCCTCGTGAAGCCACAACATCTTGCGCTAGCAACAGAATTGTTTGCCACAACCGGGGTTAACATCCGGACGGACGGCTATCGTCATCTTGGTGCTGCCCTAGGCTCTGCCCTGTTCTGCGACGGCTACGTGTCGCAGAAGGTTGACACATGGTGCACAGAGCTGCAGACCCTCGCCAAACATGCGGCGTCTCAACCTCAGGCTGCTTACGCTGTCCTTACCCATGGTCTCCGCCATAAGTGGTCATTCCTTGCGAGGACAATGCCAGCCATCGCGGACCTCCTAACACCGCTGGAAAACTCCATCAGCCAAGTTTTCCTCCCTGCACTGACTGGTCGCCAGGCCCCCGGCGAGGAAGAATGTGCCATCCTGGCGCTTCCGTGTCGTCATGGTGGTTTGGGAATGCTAAACCCAGGGACCCTTTCCCAGCAGTACGACACGTCTACGGCTGTCACCAGACCTCTAGTCGAGCAGCTCCTTCGACAGGAGGAATCCATCGAGGAAGTTGTTGCTGCCACCAAGGCAGCCAAGGCGGCCCAACGCACAGCTAATCACCAAGATCAGGCAATGGCCCTCTCCTCCCTCAGAGATACCCTGAGTGACGACCACAGGCGGACTCTGGATCTAGCCGCAGAGAAAGGTGCCTCCAGTTGGCTCACTAGTCGGCCATCTCGCCGGTTCCAGTTTACCATCCACAAGGCTGGCTTCCGGGATGCCCTATGTCTGCGCTACGGCTGGACCCCTCCCCGGTTGCCGTCTCACTGCACCTGTGGAAAGCCCTTCGACACCACCCATGCCCTATCATGTGCCATCGGAGGATTCACTGGGATGCGCCACAACGAGCTCCGGGATCTAACCGCTAATCTGTTGCGTGAGGTTGCGCATGACGTCAGCGTGGAGCCAGAGTTGGAACCCCTCTTTGGTGAAACATTCCCTCTCCGGTCGGCCAACACGGAGGCTCATGCTCGTCTT